GGTAACGAATTATTTTTTTTTTTTTTTTTTTTCTTATATTCAATAGCAATGAACGTTTACGATAAAACAGGCTGTGGGAGGGAAACGGAAGCAAAATAATTGATTTGCTTCTCGTCAATCGCTAATTGAATGTATTAAAGGCATCGAGCAATTTTGTAGATATCGAAACGTTGTTTAATGAGTTAAAATAAAATCGTATAATTTATTTATTTATTTTTTTTTTTGCACAAATTATACGAAATTTTAAAGTCTTATTAACCGGAAACGGAATTTATACACGTATTGTAAGAAAATTTATTATGAAATTTACCTCGTTTTATAATCTCTTGAAAGGGGAGTTGTCGAGACTTTTTTTATTATTGACAAAGTTCACGTGTACGTAGATTAGTTATTATTGAAAACCCTTATATAAGAAGCATATTTATTAAACCGATTGTATCGAAATTATATTCCGACAAAAGTTCTTGTTAACTTTATTTTCCTTTAATTTTTTTACGAAATATCCCTTTTATAACGGAAATGAAAAAGAAGAGATAAGATTCCCGATAAAATGGGAATTGAACGAAGGAAATACAGAGACTTTTCTGGAAATTTAAAATTGCACGTTTGAATTTCCGGCTACATAAGACAACCGGTATTAATTCTTCCACGTAGGATATCTTACATATGCCGCAAGGAATTCAGAATCCTGGGTTCTCGGAATCTCATGTTCCACATATCCGCACATACCACACCGTCAGTCTACGAGCTGTGCTTTGTAATTTTGTCCTTCCACTATCTTTTGTGCCAGACTCGCCGCGGCGCTCTCACTTACAACTTTGTAACCAATGTATACTGTGTGATGAGTGATTGTTTAATACTACACCACGCTTTAAGCCGAGGTCATCGTATGAGTGGAAAATCAAGAGATGTTATGTCTTTTAATATCCGTAACATTCGTTGTTGTTGTTGTTGTAAGTCGATATGAGGAATGGATGGATGTAGTTCACGTAAATATTGTTTTGTCATCCACGATTGTCTTTTATTGCGTATACGGGAATGAAATTTACTCGACAAAAATCATTGTTCAGATATATAAAATCGTAAAAATTTTTTATATAAATGTTTATTCGATTTCGAAAAGTAAAATAATCCCATTTTTGATTTATATTAAAAATTTTTATTATATCGAGTGGAATTATTTTTTATTTTTAACGGTTTTTTTTTTTAATTGTTTATCACTGTCAATTTCAAGTTATAGAGATGTATAATAGAAGCTCCATTATTCGAATACCCTAATATCATTTCATTAAATATCCTATTATCCAAATACAATAATACAAGCGTACATCATTCCATACTATAACGATGAAAATAACATTTAATTTGAAATTAACACGTTTGAACGCATAAAATATGTATACAATGTGTTAGTTATTGAAAGAAAATCAAAAATATTTGAAAAATTAAAAAACGATGATAAATATATGATATTGGAAACTCTACAAATTATTGATAAAAGAGTAAAATGAGTAAAATTTTACGCATTTATGTATTAAAAAATTTGTATAACTCGACAGTTAAAAAAATACAGGATTGAAAATTTTATAATAAAAATCATTTATTATTTTCTTCAAAATGTAAAATAATTCATCCAAGAAAAGTCTGTTCGAATAATAAATCTTCTACCAATCATATTGTATTAAAAAATTTATAATATTTTGATAACATAAATTGCATTTTTCTTCAATTTATAAAATTGAATTTTTTCCTCGATCTTGTAAAATATAATGTTCGAATATTTTTTAAAATAATTATATTTAAAATGAATTGCACTGTACGTTTGTCGAAATTACCACGTAATAAAATATCAGTGGAAATGAATTTATGAAACTATTTAATTCTAACCCGATTATATCAAATTGCTGAAATTATATTATATTTATATATATATACACATACATAACCTATATATACACACATAATCTATTCGATAATAAACGATTTTTCTACGATTCTATATAATATGGAAACTGGCAAAAATGTTCTATTACATTTCAAACGGTTATGTATCAAAAGATTAATATCATATACCAGGTTGGATAAAATGCCAATCGTGAATAGACGGTCTCTGTTCGAGGGGGAAGAGATCAATATAATATCTCAACGATCATTTCCTTTAAGAGAGGAAACTACCCGATTTTTACGGTACGTATGCAAATCGAGAAAGATTCCCCTTAGCTTATCTTCACAAACAGACATCTGCAAAAAAACATCTTTCCCCGATTCGTTTAATTCGTTGTTGAATCCATTCGCGTGTATTTCGAATCTCGTCGCGATGGTAAAATGGTTGGACGAAGCCAATCCATGATAGAAGAAGGTATAGTTAACGATCATATATCCACCGAGTAGTGAATAATACAATTGGTGCTTTACACTGTGCTATAGATCCACGTCGTTACATACTTTTCCTATGTAAAGAGGCATCGCTAAGGTAAATACGGCCGAGCATTGACTGAACGTGTATGTGAAACCTTGAATCGAGGTTAGAGTCGAGGTCGAGAGATCGGTCGATTAATGATACTCTTGCACCGTATGTTTGCGATTTTTCAGTTACTTAGTCGCCGGAGCTAATGTCATCGGTCACGTTACCTCGTTTATCGTCCTCTCTCGCGTTCGATTTCGTCACGAAACGAACCGTGCGTTTCCCTTCACGGTTGAACAAGGATAAGGTGACCTCCGGTGATAATGAACGTTATAGCTCGTTACCTTTGAAATTACACGACCACGAATTTATCGAGATATTACGTGACGGAATACACGATATCGTAGATAGAACGGAAGATAAACAAAAGAGGATCCCATTCCCAAATAAAAGTGGAAAATATAGCGGTCAAAGGTAGTTACATCCTATGGATATTATATTCTATTGGACAATCTGAATTGTAAATTTGCATATGAAACAATAGTCTCTTTCTCTCTCCCCCTTCACCAACCTGGTTAGCGTGTTGAAAGTTACCTCGATATATAATAAAGATTTCAGATAGATTTCGTAAAAGTTTCATGTCCTGCCTCGTATAACTGTACGTACACGTAGCCGTGCACATACGTTCGTACACTTTTATTACTTATTCAACGATGCACGTAAAAAAGAATGTGCACGAACAATAACACGATATTCGAACAACCACACAGATATACGGTCGCACAGCAAGGCAAGGAAGGAGGGGGAAAAATACACATACCTGACAATATGTAATCCTCTGTTACTTGTCCGCTCTTCCCTCCGGAAACATTTATCTGCATTATCTTTCTGGTGGACTACTTGTAGCGACCACGTCTGATAAACTGTTTCCCACCCCCATCACGAACCAGCTACCGATCCTTGCGATACCATCCACCAAGAATACACTACACACTATTCTACGCGAGGAAAGGAATCACTTCTCCCTCCTTCTCATTCTCCTCCCTCCTTTGTAACTGTAACTCTTGCTCCTTCCGTCCCCTGCTCTTCCTCCCTTTCTTCCTTTTTTTTCTCTTTTGCCCTCCTCTTCTTTCTTTCTCTTCCTCCCGATTAATTTACCATTCGATTGACACAGAGGTACACTGTAATGTCCTTTTTTGCTTCGAAGTTGGTTTACGGCCACGAAAACTGGGCAAGAGTCGTGTAGAGCCGCGCAAGATGAGAAGAGGCTTCGAGATCGGATCGAGAACGATACAGGATCCAAAGTGAAGACGGTCGGTGTGAAAAAAGGGCAAAAGTGCGAAAAACGGACCGGTCAGTGACGGCGGTCGATAGGTGGTGGTGACTTTCCAACCCAACGTGGATTATAGCACATTAGCGGATAAAATCACGAATAACCGATTGAAAAAGAATCGAAGAAGGTTTAAGCGAGAGAAAGAAGGAATACGAAAGAAATCGCGAAATTGATCGAGCGAAAAACCGAATGTTTTGCAACGGTTCGAGAATCGAACGAAACGATCAGTCACGTTCGCCGGATGTAGCGCGAATAGAGGGTTGGTCTTGCGCGGCAGCGCGCTCACGCGGTCATCCGGTAAACTGACAGACCACCCCTTGAAAGACCTCCGAACTAACAGCCTTCCCACCCTGCCCTTTTGCGGCTGCGCGTTCTCCTGAACCCGCTGCCTCTCACCCTGGTGCCGATGCGTTCTACTTCTCCCACCACTGGTTAGCGATGGCCCTTCGATATTCTCCCCATTGCAAATTTTCGAGCAACTTGCTTCTACGAGGACTCGCGAATCTCGAGAATCTCCTTTAAATTTAACCTCCATCTTCCATGCTTTGATTAATACGATACACTGAGTCTCACATTCACGCTCCTTTGTTCTTCGATGATAATCTAATATAATGTGTGATTAAATTCGATTATCCAAAGCACCTACATTATCTAGATTGTCTAAAGTAGATTGCTCAAGTTACACAGTCTCTAATCATGGTTCGTAAACGTCTCGTAGTCATCGCTACATAGGAACCAATTCTCATTCCTTATTTCCACGCCCCGTGAAAAATACCTCACCAACCAGTCACTGGAAAGAAGCTCGATCGTATCTGCCCTGTGACCCCGCATGCCAACATTTTCCGTTAAAAAAGGCTTTCCACTTTATTTCACTCCCGATTCTTCTTCGTTGACTCGATCCTTTGGGGAAAGACTTGGGAACTGCTTTCCAGAACACTTTGAAAATTACTATCCGCCTTGCAAATCGAGTTCGAACGAGATTCCCTCGAAACTCTCAAATCAACGATCGAATTCTTAAATTGCTCCACTCTTGATTGGCTCGATTTCCAATATTTACTTTACCATATGAAAAGATATCTGTACGATACTCTTTCCTATCTTCTAAATGAAAGATATATAATATATCTTTCAAACAAATTATTTATATTCACAGTTCACTTTGTTCATTTTTGATCAGAATTAATATAATCTATTCTTCTTCGAATAAACATATATTGCACTTCAAAAGACACACGATCGTATTGTTAAGATTATCCATGTTTGTACAGCGAGGTTATATTTCGATATTAACAAAATCACTAATTAAATGTGTTTCTATGTAAAAATTTTACATTCATTATGAGTTGACTACAAACCAAATAACACAAACAACACTTTGATTCACATATTTAACACAAAAGAATGTTATCAGATACGTAATTTCGTAAATAAACGTGCACGAAATTCCTTCATTGTTACCGCGTTTTTGAAATTCGTTCGACTGTAATTTGCTTTAAACATGTTAGATAGAGCCACTGAAAATCTTATATTCTTAACCATTGAAACGGCAAATGTAATGATAAAATTTTTAATATTAATTTCCATTATTATCATATATTATATCATTTATATATAAATAATGTTATTTAAAATTAGCAATTAATTAATATAATTCATATTAAAAATTAACAATTGATGAAAAATCTATATGAAAAATTTGAAAAATTTTGATCATTTATTTCTTATTTTCAATAATTTAATTTTTTAAAAAATTAAATATTGAGAATATTTTTAATAAAATTTGTATTTGTACGAATATTTATAATATAATCATTCAATAAACATTTTTGATTAATTAATTTTCGTAATTTATTTATCAATTATTAATTAATCAATCGATATTCAATCATTTATGAGATTATTGTAAGTTTATTCTATTTCTATTATTGAATCTTTATTTACAATATTTAATAAAATTTAGTTTTAAATTCAGTCACTATCCATGTTGCAATCTTGTTCTGTACTGAATCGGTAACACATAAGATGAAAATGGTTATAAGATATTCTTATCTATATTATTATTCTTAAATTCCATTGATAAAAAAACATTATATATTTCTATATTTATTTTATATTTAATTTATGATATATATATATATATACCTGTAATTTTAATATTCTAAAATTTCTATTACATCATGTACTTACATCAAATAAAAGGATTCCTACTTTATCATTATTTGAAAGTAAAGAAATTATTTTTAGCAACAGAAAATATGTACGAAATATATGAAAACATAATGTAATCATTTAAAGACAGACAAGATTCTGTTTCCATTGTCTACAGATTCTATTTACGTATTTTTTTGGATTAATAAAATTTTAAAAATATTACATTTTAGATATTGATTTGACTGTTACAAATATAAATCGTATATAAGTTTGTACATAAATATTTAAATATAAAAAGCAAAATATTTTTATAATTACGTGACACATTTATATTTTACTCAAGATTAACAATAATTACCTGATTTTAATTTACAACTTAATTTTCGAATATTGCATATCTACAACGTCCTAATTTTGTTATTACCTTAAAATCTCATTACCTAAAAAATTCTCAATTTTCGAATTATATATTAATATCGACGTTTAATGTAAAACTAAATATAAGAAAAAAAGAATGTACAACGCGAAATTAAAATGTACGGCTCGTTTCACATTTACATAAGAACGCGTTTCGATTCTTAATAAATTCTAATTAATCTTTCGTCTCTCGCAATGTGATATTCTTGTATAATTTTTCACCTGAAACAATAAAACCATTGAGAATTCAACAACAGTATTTTTTGTAATCGATAAATTTTCCCTAATTTTACAATTTATTCGAGAAAGATTTGAGAAATCACTCATCACTTCAGTGACTTCTTTATTTCTTTATTTCATCTTATACACATCTGTCATGCGACTCGCGTCATTATACCTTGACCATATTAACAATACAAACACCATCAAGAATTCTAGGTGTCTCTCATGCAAGATAGTGTCGAGCAATTTCGTTTCGAACGAAGCACAAAGATCGCGGGAGTCGATGACGATGGCAGGTTTCGGAGGTGCTTTTCAAATCTTTGAACGTCGATTGAAGTAACAAAATCTGTTCACACGTAACAAAATCGACTAGCTGTGACAAGTGGTCAAAGTGGCAAACAAGTGTTTCTCGCTTTTACATTTATTCTTTTTTGTATCAAATCAATTTCTATAATGTTAAAATTGTTGACAGTTGCCTTGCTTGTGTCACGCGTACAATGCATCATTCCTCCCACGATTCTGAAAGCTATTTATTTATTTTTTGTCGGAATTCTGAAAGGACAAGACGACTTGGTCCCCGATGAAACGTATTTCTTCGAGGAGTACGATTTCGTCGTGATCGGGGCTGGTTCAGCGGGCTCTCTTTTGACGAATCGACTGACGGAAAACCCGCAGTGGAACGTGTTGCTGCTCGAGGAGGGCAAAGACGAGATTTTCCTCACGGACGTGCCATTGTTTGCTTCGACTTTGCACGTCACTGACTACGTCCGCCTGCACAGAAGTGAACCGAGGCCCCGAAATGTGGATGGGACAGGTGGTTACTGCTTGTCCATGAAACACGGTCGTTGCAATTTGCCAGGAGGTAGAGCGGTCGGGGGCAGCTCTGTGGTGAATTTCATGATATATTCCAGAGGATCGCCAAACGATTACGATGACTGGGCCGCGCAAGGCAACCCAGGGTGGAGCTATCAAGACGTGCTCCCCTATTTTATCAAATCGGAAAATTGCAAACTGCTGGATCAGGATGTAAGGTAGATATTATTAGTTCAATATTATATTAGAAATTAAAAATAATCTGTGATTCACAACTGCGATTTTCAAAGAATAAATATATAGATTAGACATGTAATATTTTCCATCCATTACAAAAATTATCCTTAGAAAAAAATTTATTACGAATTTTTAATGCAATTTATAATGTATAATAATAATTTAAATGACGTTAATAAACCAATATTTATCATGTTCTTTCAACTTAGTCCAAAAAATTATCATCTCTTTTGTTAGGAGAATTCTTTGAAGATATATCATTGATTAAATAATTTTGTTTAATTAAATTAATTTTAACAATAATAAAATTAAGAAAAATCATACTTATTTCAATTCAATTGAAAATATAAATAGGATACGACTTTTGGCAGTGCAGGTATTAAAGACAACAAAGTTGTAAAACGTACTAATTGCGAATACGTGGCCGAACTGTGAAATATTAGAAAGCGGCACCGTGCCAATGTTTGCTTAACAAATCTTTAACAAGAGGATGGTAACAGATAATGCCGGCCAAATAGAATATTTCTGACAATTAAGAATGAAGAATTTCGAGACTAATACATATTCGACACGGATCTTCCAGATTTCATGGCCACGGAGGATATTTGGACGTGATCCATTCCCCTTACGTCTCGCCTTTGAGAGAATTATTCCTCCGTGCTGGCGAGGAACTGGGATACGATGTGATCGATTACAATGCAGGCAGTGTAATCGGTTTTTCGACGGCGCAGGTTCACCTGAGAAACGGGCGTAGAGTTAGCGCGAGCAAAGCGTTTCTCAGGCCCATCCGTGGCAGAAGGAATTTCCATCTGTCCAAATTGTCCAGGGTGACGAGGATCGTGGTCGATCCGAAGAAAAAAGCGGCCGTGGGCGTCGAGTTCGTTAAAAATGGCAAGAAACGATTCGTCGCTGCCAGCAAGGAGATAATTGTTTCAGCAGGTGGATCTTATCTTCTTATCGTGTTTCGTCACGAATGACAAATGGTTTTGAAAGAAATTCTCTTACGTTCTTTCTATAATTTAGGTACCTTGAACTCGCCACAATTGTTAATGCTATCTGGAATAGGACCGAAAAGTCACCTCGAATCGTTGAATATCGATTCGATCGAGGATCTTCCGGTCGGATACAATTTCCAAGATCACGTCAGCATGTCCGTGTTGACGTTTCTCGTGAATGAGAGCGTGACTATCGTCGAACCTCGGCTTGCTTCGAATCTAGCCAATGTTTTGGATTATTTTGTCAAAGGAACCGGCCCCTTGACAGTGCCCGGAGCAGCGGAGTGTCTTGCGTTTATCGATACGAAGGAAGATCGATCCAGCCGTCGAATGAAAAAGTTTCAAGTTAATAACACGAATTTTCGTGATACGAATCGCTTGGAAAGATTCAATGACAAAGAAAGTATGGTATAAATCTCTTAGAGTTGTAATCAGCGTGATGTATCTCTTCAAAAGTTGATTCTTTTTGCAAAAAGTTTCACACGGATTGAAAGTTTATTTGAGGAGCTAATAGATTGACAACAATGTGACTCAAAATTTCCAGTTTCCCACCTTTTATTGGAATAATCGTTATGAGTTATATATATATTCTTATAGAATTATCATAATTTTTGAGTTGTTTGTGTAGTTGCACAGTGAATTTGAGATAGGTTAATTTTGATTGGTTAACCTCAATTTGAGTTAGATTAATAAGATAGGTTTGGATAATAAGTAGAAAAGATAATTATAATTGGTAAGAAAATATATTCAAGCATAATTCTATGTTATCTGTGAGTATATGTTATTAATAGATATAATTTCCAATTGAAATGAACAATTTCTAACGTTTGAAATCGGTAGTGGCGTAAGCATCAATATGTCAAGGTTAACGTCATTCGAGTTTAAGTTTTTTAAATTGCATAATTATCTGTATGCAGTAATAAAAATATTTATTAATATATCGAATATCAATCAATTAAAGATATATATAAGAAAAAATTATTTAAATCATTGATTTCGACAACTTTTTTCACTGAGATCTGAGAAAGATATCTCTCATATTCATACATAACAATCTTGTATTTCATAATAAAATGAATATTTTGATATAAAATTGCTTAAAATTTAAATAAAATGTCAAACAATAATCGCTATCAAGCAAAAGTGTACTTAGATATATTTTTAATTTCTAGATATATCCTCTAACTAACTTTAAAACTATTTTACAAAAAGAATTAATTTTCTTAAAGAGATATCGCATCCGTATTTTTGTATTTCATCATATGCTTTGAATAATTAAATGACATATAACGTATACATTTCTTATTTTCCAGCTTCTCTTCTTCCAAATATAACCACCATCACAGTAGATTCCGATTATTTGAAAGCTCATCGACGTTCAAATGAAACGAAGAAACAAATGTTCCCGACATTGAACTGGTTTTAGGTATAAGCGCCCTAACCGGAGATATATCGGGTAGTTACAGAGGGCTTCTGGGCCTGACAAACGAATTTTACAAAGAAGTCTTCACTGGTTACGAAGGTTACGACGCCTTCTCCATTGTTCCGGTCCTCTTGCAGCCGAAAAGTAGGGGAAGAATCACCTTGAAAACCTCTGATCCATTTGATCGACCTATTTTCGAGACAAATTACTACGATCACGAAGACGATCTCAGAACTATGGTTCGAGGCATTAAAAAGGTTGTTACTTTCTATGCAACATTTATCTCGGTAGCCGTTTACCTTGTACTTCGCAATCACGATTCTTCAGTACATTATGCAACGATTCTTTTAACTTTTATTTCATGCCTTATTGTTACGACTATCGTTCCTCTTTTTACTTTACATCATCACTTATGATAGTCATGTTTAAATTATTTTTAATCAATCGTCACATGTCTAAACTTCTAAAAACATTGCAATCTATTCAATTTATTGAATTTTTCGAGTTACTCTCTCTTCCTCTCAGAAAATTTATCGATTTCACAAAATTATTTAAAGTTAATTTTTCATCGATTTTTCAGGCCATAGAAGTAGCATCGAGCAAAGCGTTTAAACGTTTCAATGCGACGTTATTGCCGGTTGCATTTCCAGGATGCAAGCATGTCCCGTTCGGTACAGATCCGTATTGGGCTTGTGTTGCTCGCCAAGTGACCACGACCCTAGGTCATTTCGTAGGAACGTGCAAGATGGGCCCAAGGAGGGACTCTGGTGTAGTGGATCACAGGTTACGAGTGCACGGGATCAATGGTCTCAGAGTTGTGGATGCCAGTATAATCCCTACCATAGTAACAGGCCATACGAATGCGGTTGCTTATATGATCGCTGAAAAGGCTGCGGATATGATAAAAGAAGATTGGAAAGTATTGAATTCTGAATTCGATTAAACGAGTTGGAAAATTTAGGAGAGAAAGAAAGAAAGAAAAAAACAAATCAAACAATAGTTAACAATAGTAATATCATATCGATATGCGTGTATTTTCATATAACTTATCTTTCGTCGCTGTCCATTCTAGTATATAGTTACTGTGAAAATAATTAACGACCGGTCATTGTCGTTATGCGATAGTATATATTAATCCGCATTTAAAAGAGAGAAAATTCTCTTCGTTATTGCTCTGTGATGTGAATAAATATGAATCGACTGATAGTTAATAACACAGAGGAAATGGACTTATCTTTGGTAGCGATATGTTCTTTCTATCTAAATATAAATATAACGTATTTACAATAAAACAAAAAAATATTCGAATAAATATGATTGTACAATTGTAACATTATTATATACGTTGATAAAATTGTGAACAACTGTATTATTTTTTTTTAGACTTTCTTCTATAAAGCTCAAACGATGCTCAAAGTATCGAAAAACTCGTGAAAAATATAAAAGGAAGAATTCGAGAAATCTGTTGCCAAGAAACTACTGTACTTTCAGCGCCTGAAAATAAATAGAATTTATTTATAATTCGATACACAAAGGTGTAAAAATGACTCACTTTGAAAAGAATAATTACCGTTGTCGCTATATCGGATGCAATCGTATAATTCCTTTGACATAATGTAATCCTTGGCGCAAACGCATGTATCTGAAAAAAGTACAATGTTCTCAGGAAAAATATATATATAATTTTCGGGCGAAAAAGTGAATCCATACTGTCTATACAATCGACGTTCATCACTGTGGTGATGTTGGAATGCCTATAAGTGACGGTGACACAATCTCTATGACTTTGGCATCGATCGTTCAACACTAAAATAATAATTCTACGTCAGTTGAATTCTTTTTTTTTTTTTGAGTTTATCTTATCGAGAGTCGGTCTATCCCAGTGGTACTCACTCATATCTCTGAAACATATGGAGCCTCGTTGATGGAAATTTTCGATGCAACTGCATTTACCATCGGGTCCACATTCAGAATCTTTGATGCCTAATTGGCATTGAGAATCCTCTTGGCACGGTTCCCCCACAGAATTGCGAATTTTCAGGCATTGTTTCCCATCTTTCGATAATACATGATCCACTTTACACGAACAAATATCGATGCATCTCGAATTCTCCGCCACGCATTCGTAATCCTTGAAACACTTTTCCCCTAATTCTGCCAAAACATGCAAATATTTTGATTTTATTCTTTGTTCTTGTTAATTAAATTACATGAAAAGCTACAATTCCAAAAAATTTTAAGAGATAAATTTAAAATTTTAACTTCCAGTATTTATTAGTTTTTGAGATATTAATGAAAATTTTTCAGCACTATGCATTGAAAATTGCTATTTTTTTTTTTACTATGTTTAATTAGTTCAATATTGGGTTAGATAATTTGCAAATAAATATATTTGATGTGCATGTGGTAATTGCTATTTTTTTTACCATGTTTAATTAGTTGAATATTGGATTAGATTATAATTTAAAAATTAATATTTGCAATTTTCATGGAAACAATTGAAACTTTTACAATATACAATATATTTATAGGATGAGACAAAGTCTATGTATCAAAGTCTATCTGTTACACGTTTGACTTGCACAATTGTTGCATTAATCACATTTACATAGAATCAAATATAATAGTTTAAATTGAAATTAAATTAAAATTTTTATATTTGCGACCCAAGGAAAAAAACCACTCGAAATTTTATCCATCTAAAATAAATTGATTGGAAATACTTACCGATACTTGGTATGCAACCATCATTGCGAGGATTAGGATGATACTTCAAAGTACACGCGCAATATCCTGTCACGCAGTAACTGTCTCTGATGTAGCAGTTCCGGTGCGTTTGACAAGGCTCTCCTAGACCTGAACAACGATATATTTTGATTCAGAGCTTGTAAACGAAAAATTGAAATTACGATATCGTTGTAAAAAAAAGAGCTGTAATCTCTCTTAAACGATCGTGTCGTATATGAATAGTTTTCATGACATGTGAAATCAATATAATAAAATATGATATTATTTAATAAAGATAATAATATAGTAGATAAAAGTAAAAATTAAAATAATATATGGATATAATAATTATATGGAATAATGTAATAATAATGATGGAAAATTCGTGATTCAATTTGATTTTTAATCAAATTGTATTAATCAAATTAATGTGCCATGAGAAGTTGACAAATTTTTGTATGTAAATTAGAGAATAACTACATAATGGTTTCACGCAAATAATATATTTTAGAAAAAAAAATATTTGTCTAATTGTTTGTTTAAATTGATACTCATATCTTTTATTTTACGATAGCTAAGAATTCAACGACCTGTTCTAAGATAAGGTTTAATGAACACAACTGGAGAAAAAAATTTTTGAAATTGATAAATGGAAATATTTGTATTTCTTTGACTGATAATTTCAAATATATTATATCATTATTGACTCAAATATTATAAATATTATATTATAAGTATTTTTCTATAATAGAGCCATTATATATGGAAAAATAAATTTATCGAACAAAATTATTAAATTCATCCTATGTATTATATTATTTTTTCTCACTTGAAAATTACTACAAATAAAAGAAAAATTTCTTCAAAAATTTTTCAAAAAGAAAATTGAGCAAAACTCTTTTTGCTCATTTTCACATTAAAGCAAAAAACGGAAAAAGATATATTTCTTCCAAATCAATTGTTAAAAAAATATATTTCAACAAGTCAAATAGATATAAGTAAATTTTATATGCCAAAGAATTAATTTACGAGTTACCACGGAATAAAAAGGATTGAAAAACATTCCACCTCAACTTCTTAAAAACATATTAAATTAAATTAGTCGTTGTTAACACGTGAATTTAAAAATAGAATTCGAACATGTTCAAATAATATTTCAAGGATATTTATATTAGATACTCCCGATTCAATGAAACAATCCCGTCAAATTCTCGCTTCAAAAATAATTATTGAAAATATTAGGAAATATATTTTATGAATCGTTTCACCGCGGTGAAATAATTATAGCGGCCCTTTCGATGAGATTCAGGAAACGCGAAGGAAGTGAAGTGCACTCACCTACAGACTCGTAACACCTTCCCTCCACGTAGTGAGAACCATCGGAGCATTGGCAGATATTTTGCCGGCACTCCGAGTAAGGAGCGAAGGTCACGCGACACTGAATGTCCGCCTCGCAAGGATCTCCGATAGAATTCGCGACTGGAAATAAATTCTCGATCTCAAATTTCGATCTACCAATTTTCAAGTATTCTTTTTTTTTTTTTTTCGCTCCTTCATTTCGTTAGAGGTTAAGCTTGCGTGTCCGTGGGAAAATCGAGGAAATATAGCTGATTTTTGTCGCGCCTGTGAGCACGATGAACGACACGCTCTAGAAGACGGAAAGACCGTGAGAAAGGGACGACTTGGAACGATGATGTTCGTAGAATCACGTTTTTCGAGGTCGGTGACACTACGTTTCTAGCTTACCACCGTCGAGAACGATGATTAATCGAATTTTTTTCCTTTTTTTTTTTTTCTATTCAAATAGGTATAATCGATTTTCAATGTTTTCAACGTGGAAAAATGAATACCGAGTTCCAGTGGAATATCTAAGTATCAATTTATTCGTTGCGTAAGATCGACAAACAAAGGGCGACGAGAAAAAAGTTGATGAATCTGATCGTTCGTTCGCAAAAATATATATGTATTTATATGTATTTTGAGAAATTTGATTTTAATAATAATTTTTGTCTACGTAGAGCATTATTGGATTGTATTTCAGATAAATAGATCAATTCTTAAATTTTTATTTTTATTTTTTTGTATTTTATAATTTAATAATTTTGCTAAAAACAAAAATAATAATATTGAAAATCGATCTTGAAATTATTATATTCCATTACACAAAAAAATTGTTCCATGTATGATCTATCTACAATGTTAAAATTATTATTGATTTTTATAATACGTGAATTCATATAAGATATACTTATTGTATATCTAGTTATAAATAAAATATTTTTTTTATAATTTATCTTATTACTTTTACTGAATTTTAAAGCTCGTAGAATTATCTTATATTATCTTTTATCATTATCATTTTTACTCGTTTCAATAAATGTATGGAAAAAATTAGAGCAAAGTTGAAATCGATAATTTGATAAGAAGAATATAAATCATGAAGAAAAAAAATTATTAATAAACATACGTGACAACGTATAGGGATCACATAATCGTTTCAAACACTGACAATGGGAACAATACGAAAGATTCGTAGAAAACTTTTACCTTTGAGGCATTCCACGTGCGTGCGATTTTTATAGACAATGTAATTTTCCTTGCACAAACAGGCTTCCTGGTTCCAGCAATAAGCATTCTTCATACAATCAACGTCGTATTTACATTTCGCCAATGTCTCTGAAAAAATTCATGCAAACATTCAAACATTTTGCACGCAATGATTTTTAAATCCGAAAAACGATTAAAAAAAAAAAAACGTAATAATAATGCATCGTCTTAAATATTCATTGCCACATGCTACGTGCTTCCAGCGTGTGTTTCATTCAGCGTGAACAGAACCGATTATCTAATTGTGCACAAAGATCGATCAGGTTTCTAAAGAATAGGATTCTGAAGGGGATCGTGGGTCGAACACAGTGAGAGTCTACGTGATAGAGATGGGCAAAATTTTAACGGTGTTGAAATCGAGAATAAAATTACTTCGATAAATAATTTAATCATCCAAATTATCGACTATAATCAACTTTCATAACATGATTATACGAGAAACTACAAGAGCTACGAATAAATTATTATTATTATTATTATTATTACTTTAAAGCAATTTTATTCGAAATTTTTAACCAATTAATTTTTCAGCACGTATTAATGCCCAACTCTGGTCGCATATACATACGAAGTGGCGGTGTTCGGTTGCTGCATCGCGGCGGTTGTTCACTGACGTAAGAAATGGTCGCGCAGACGGTGACAGGAACGAGGACCAGGATCCTCGAGATCCCGACCACCGTCCTGGTCGTTGTCATTCTCGTACCGCCGTTGAAACGTCTTCCTCTCGGCGTCGTTTCATCGGCCCAAATCGAATGGCCGTCATTCCCGATGATCTCGAGAAGGATCTCCCGCCAGGCCGTTTGATCTTGATCTAGCCAGACCAATGCTTCATTCGTTATGTTTCACCGTCTCTTGTGTACGTTCTCACTATCGTTGCGTGTTACGCAACTCGACAAAGAAGATCCGCTCTAATGGCGCGGCTCACGTTAGATTAGATGACGGCATCGTTTCACAGCGCTTGTTCACGTGTCCTCTTCATCTAGCGTGATTATCACCAAATTCTATTGAGTTGGTGAGAAAGTTATTTTAGAAGATAATGTTGCTTCATTTAATTTGATGAATGAATCTTTAAATATTTATAAAAATCTTTGTAAAATTTGTTATAAAATTCATTATTATGTTGTAGTTCAAAATTCGATTGTAAATAGATTTCAATTTTTTTACTGATACTGATCCTATTATTATCATATTCAATGTTTATTTTAAAAAAATATGGCAAATGTTTTTCATTCTTTTCATTTCATTCATCTAAATGTAATATAAGGAAGAAAATATACAGAGATTCTTTTATATTACGTTTAAATGTTTAATTTACATTTATTTTTAAACTCAGGCAACAATAGAATATTTTGTGAACACAGAATACTGTACTGTACTATTATAAAATGATTTTATCACAAGTATATATGATATAAGAACTATTTGAAATTTTTTTATCTTTTCAAAATCAAAAATCGATATAACTCTCCCACCAATGCAATAATTAATCAATAATGATTCTTTATCACGATGCATTTACCAATAACCAATAATTTTTTATACGATAATTTAAATTTTTGAGTTTAATTGAATTTATCTTTGATAAATAATAATCTGGTTTTTCTAAAACAACGTTTAGAAAGTTATTTAATTCAAGTTTGCTAATCAATACGTGATGCACAGTGGAACTTTGTACTAAAAAGTTGAAAAAAATTATTTTTGCATGTATATATTACAATTAATGATAATTTGAATAACTAATTAATGATAATACTGAAAGTAAGTCACATACCATGATCATTCTTATTAACTCGTAATTATTTTTTGTAAAAAAGATTTTTTGAAAAAGTTGGTATTATAATTTGATATTTTTATTAATTTTCTTGTAAGTGAATATATATTAAATATATGAGGGTCAACTTCATTCTTTTTTAAATAGAATCGTATATTTTTCAATAAATTAATCGATGCAGCAAATTTTCCTATAAAAGAAATATATATATATATATATATTAATATATTTATAATAAAATATTATTACTTTTAAGAGATAAATCAACTAATTTTGTAAAACTTACCTTATGAAAAACAAAACACGCGAAATGATACTCTTTTATTTATGCTTTATTTTTCATATAACATAAAATTTTAATTCAAGTTACCAATAATATTTTATTATTTATGATTTAATAATTTTGTTATAGGGAATCACAATTTGCAATGATTAATGTATTAAAAAATATATGATTCCATTTAAAAAAACAAAATTAATTTTTATATATTTCCTTCTCTATTGATATATTTACAAAAAATTATATATAATCAAATTATATTTTCTTCTATAACTTCTTATATCTTCTTCTATATGAAATTTTTAAATAATATAAATAAATTTTTCATAATTTAAGTTTTTTAAATGATTATGTTGCATGACTTATTTTACATATTAATATCATAACTACAAAATTCCAATTTTTTTTAAATAAATGATTTTAGCATTTTTTTTTTTGTAATTTAAACACATGCTTTTTTTAATGCTACAAAAAAGCTATTTGTCATTGTAATATTATCAAAGATAACAAAATTATAAATGAATTATAATTATTGTACAATTATAGTTATAAAAAAATTACTAAATTATTAATTATTTACAAATACTCAAAATTATAAAGAAAATAAATATAAGATTAAAAACTGTCTGAGAATACATTATTTATCTGATAAATATGAATATCTGGAAAGCTTCCATATTGTAAAAATATGCATAATTTTTATAAAATATGATTAAAATCGATTTTCATTTAATTTTTTTAATGCAAAAATCTTATTATATTCCATTTCTGAAAACAATCCGTTGCCATTGTTACAGGCATTGATCAAAGTAGGGCATGTTCTAACGATCGTAACTTAAATCAGGTTAAACGTGCTTGGATAATATAGATGATATCATTTAAACCGTATCTATCAACCGTAATTAAACAAAATTAATCGCAATTAAGTTCCTTTCCAATTTGAATATCGATTTCAATTTAAGTCATCACTTACCCATATCACTCATTACGTATATTTGTGATCATTACAATAATCTATATGATTTCCGATAGGTTATGTTATTATTCTATTTAAGTAGCTTCTTACGCACATATTATGACGTGATATTATGTTACCAATAAAAATTTTGCACTAAATCGACTCAATTACGAATCTTTGTTACTGTAATTAACTTTAATTAATTTTAATTACATAATATTTTCATAATAGCATATGTAATTAGCAACATTAAAATAAATCATAGAACTACCTAACCTTCTCTTTACATTAATATAAGTAATTTAGTTTCAGAAATATTGTATTAGTATTTAGAAATCTTTTCAATTTTGATATTTGATGTTAAAGGAAAAACAAGATAGTCAATATTTTTAAGTATATAATATTTTCTAAGTAATTACCGGTGACATCTTTCGAAGCTTGCCGATCGATGAACGAGGTTAGCATATTTTGCTACCATAGTTTCGGTCTATTACGCAACGATACTAGTTTTATAAACAAATGCCATTATTAAATATCGCGTTTAATTCGTTTTCATTGTTTTCGACATTGTCATATAGTGCATATTTAGTTCGAAGAATTTTATTTATTTTTTCTTGCGCGAATGATTTATCATCTGTTGTCAGAATGTTTACACAACTTGTACACTTTATCGTAATTGTCGATTCGCTCATTGTCACACGTATATTTTAAACAATGTATTTTAAATAATTTTATTAGAAAATTATGAAATTATGTAAAAATATTGATCTAATTTAATTCTTGAATAAATATCATTTAATCTCAACTAGTTTAACACAAATGATCATAAAATTTATCATTTTCTATTAATTAAGAATAATTATCTTTCAATTTTTGAATACAAGCTTTTTCTATTCCATAATATATAGTCTATTTTTAATTGTTTATTCTTAAATAAATTAACATTAAATTAAGTTAATTAATGTGAATGATTTGTTATAAATAGATTGAACATGTTTAAGCAAAATAATTTTATAATAGTATATATTAAAATACTAAACTAAAATATTTTATGCTTTTTAATATTATATATTACGTGCAGATTTTTATACATTTAAATTTTGTATAAATGTATAAATATCCAATATGTATATATATATATATTTTTTTTTAAAATTATATTCGAATTAAAGAATAATTAAATGTATACATATATGTCAATCTATATATATCATAAAAAATTAAATGTTATTTAGGATAAATGATAATTAGTTATATGTATAATTGTATAAAATACATTTGTTATAAGATTAAAAAAAAAATCGAAGAAATAGTTAAAATTTATATGTTGACAAAAGCACAGGATTTAAGAAATTTTAAATAAAATTAATCATTTCTGTATAGAGAATTGCACATTTTATCATATGTTTTAGAGGATTAAGTTGACATTGTTTGGTATGACACGTTTGGTATGATTTCATAATAAGGTTTCAGGCACTGACAAGCTTTACTTAAGACGCAATCCAGCTTAAAGAACAGTGTTAGATCGAAATATCAGACGTTGGAAGGGATTTCCCTTGTTCTTTAATTATGTATGATTCCAAGCCGACATTCGCTTAACTGTGAGAACCAACAGCGTAAATCCGGCCTCTCCGTATTTCCTCACGAAACCGAAGAAAGGATCACTCGATCATGAAGGAACGAAACCACACGAGAATCATAAATTCACTCGTACTGGAAGATCTTATCGGAAAAAGGAGATCAAGCACTAACAGATTTTTTTTTCAGTTTTCGTTTAAAACCGAAAAACGTTTAAAACGATCGTTAATTCGTAAGCTGTGACACATCGACACATAAGTTACTAATATCAATCATTGACGCCAATGTGATTCAATAAAAAATCAAAATTGTTATTTATAATTACAATATCAAATTATACCTGAAACTTTTATTGATATAAATCATTGAAGAATCTAGAAGAATCGTCATCACATTTTCTTTAAACACTTGAAATATAATAATAAATTTTAAATTTAAATTTCAAATTCAAATTGTTTTCGAACTTGAAATATAAAGTGTAAACAATTTTTTTACAAATAATATTTTAGAAAATTCATCACATGTTTAAAAATAATAATCAATCACATTGTAGTGTAATTGAAATCAAAAATATCACAATTTTTCACAAAATAACGAAGAAACTGCCAGTAAACACTCACGTCTATGCAATAGATGTTCATGCTGTCCGTGCGCGATGACGACTGCACTTCGTACGACGAAGCAGAAAGCGATCAACAGCGCAAGACCTCCCATCGTGAGACGATTTACTAAGCCCGCCATCTTCCTCGTTCAACACGAGTTCGTCGCTTTTTCGCACGTTCTTCCTTCTTTTCTTTCGTTCTTTTTTCAACTTGCTTCCTCGAAACTCACAAAGATGATTCTCAATATTGTCTCATGCAGTCTAACAAAAATTGTTCTCTTATGTTCCACGGCTGGCTTTATCTAATCGGTACGTGTTGATAAGTTTCCTGTGAATGCAGCGCACGAGAACGAGTCATCTTCTAATCGCTCATCGGCACTGAAATCGCAACACGATAGTAATACACTACAGCGTATAAACATGTGTCATCAGAAACTTTACATTCCTGATTAATACAACGACGACGAAAATGATCATCGATGATTCAGTGTCTGAAACTTTTAAATATATAGACTGACTGAACAATGCGATAACATAATTTAATGTAATCAATGAATTTATAATAATAAATATATATAATAAATTTTTTTTCACAATTTATAATAAACGAAAATTTTATCAATTTTTGTTTTTTTTGAAAAAAATTTTTTAACATTTTTTATTCATTAATTTTTATTCATTAAATATAAATTTTTTTAAAATAAAATATATATTGTATAATATTAATCGAAGCCATAATTTTTTGACATTATATTAATTATTAATATGATTTTTTATACTAGTGTATATTAAGATTAAATTTTTTTTTCTTCATTTTTTTTTGTTTTAAATATTATTAGGTAACTAACCTAAAATTTCTAATTTACAAAATTTATCTAATTATATTACGTAAAAAAAAAAATATCTAATCAATTTTGATCTCATTATTAAAAAGATTTATTGACTTTATTTTATAATTTTATTGTAATTTAATTATATCAAAATTTTTATTTAAAAATGCAAATTAAATAAAATTTATTATTTTACTTATTATACTTGCTCGTTGACAAATAACAAAATATAATTCTTACTTAAATTAATATATATTTAATTCATTAAAAAAAATTACTAACGATAATAAAAATAACTCTAAAATAATGTAATTTCTTATTTTAAATACAATAATATCGAAGATAGAAAATACAAAATGAACTGAATATATATCAACTATTAAATACTTATATATTCGCTTATTTCTAAAAAAATAAAATATTTTTTAGCTATTTCCCATAAAATAAAATAAAAGACTATAGGTTCAGAAAATGCTGTCTTTAATTTAAATAAAATTAAACGTTTAATTTCTAGATATTCATCTATCAAGAAATATTTATAAATACTAGTCGTATAAAAAAAAATAAAATACTGTTGCTTTATCCTATAAAAAATTCAAGTTGACTGTAATGAGATTCCAAATATCATGAGATCACAATATATTGTTGACACATGCATTTATACAAATATTAAACAACATTTCACTTCACATCACATAAAAACACAAACGAACCACTTAGAAGCTAAACTAATTAATTTCAAATTTTGCGAAAATATACATTTAATGTTTAATTTTTTATAAATTAATTAATTAGATTTAGCTTCTATGTAACTCAAACATCATTTTTTTTATAATCATCGAGATTTCAACGCAAATGATGAAATATGAAATGATTATTCGATTGGTATTCGTTAACAAACATATCTGTTCTTTGGCACAGTTTACAAGATAAGTATAGAAGCGGTCGCGGGAGTGAATCGCGCAATAGCGCAGTCTGAGCGTGTTAATTGCATGCACAGCGCAGGAAGTCTTTAAACGGTTCGGTGCACCCAACCTATTCTCTTGATGCACTCGGTGCACAATTCTATGTAGTCGTAGTGTCATCCAATGCCACACTGTTCTCCTACTTTTTTCACTTTCTGTGCTGAATCTCGCATCGTGTTTCAATTATGTTATCGAGAAGGTTGTAGATCAAAACTGTTCGCACATATGTACTTTGCCAACCAAGATTCAACGTTTCATCTAGTTTTGTGTAAATAATACGATAGATACGATTATTATGAGCAAAATAGGCAGAATATCAAACCGTGATCCTAGAAAATATGAATATAGTAAAAAATATAGTAAAAATATAGAATGATAAATAAAACAAATATATTTGTTTCCATTTACCTTCGTTTACACATTTATCGTCTTCTCTCACGTAATCTTCAATACATACACACACATTTTCCATGCACTTCACTGCTTTACGTGTCAAATTTTCATTTTCTTCATTTTGGTAACATTCATACGTATTCGCGCAAATTTCACCAAGTTCTGTAAAACAACGCCATCTATGAAGTATATATATAACGAAGGAAAAAGTAAAGTTCGAAAAATTGAATACAAGATGTACTTACTTTTATTGAAATAACATTGCTTTATTTCGGGTTCAAAGTGATATTGATTTTGACATTGACACAATTCATCAATGCATAGTGCATCAGGAAAAGTTGTAGTGCATTGTATATCTTCCACGCAAATATCCAAGATATCCCTCGCAACCGGTAAACATTTTTGTCGATTTTTATTGATCACAGTTTCTTTTATACAATCGCATACTCCTCTATTGGTACATGCAGCACCGTTGATGTGAATACATTCTTCCGATTGGCGACATGGTTTTCCAATATCTGTGAATATTTTGAATTACGCAGATTATATAATTATTTTTAATCCAATTTTTAATCAATATTTTCTCGAATCGAAAAAAGAATTTTGTCTTACCAATCATTTCATAGCAAGCATTTTGCACATAATGATATCCAGATATACAACTACATTGGTTACTTTGACATGTCGTATTTGGTAAGAATGTTAAACATTGTCTATCTTCTATACAAGGAAAATCCAATCTTTCGGCTTCTAAAATGAAAAAATAAAGAATCAATGATTCAAGATTCAATCAAAATTAAAATCATATTAATGAAATTTATTCTTACTTTTAAGGCATACTTTTTTGTTACTTGATAAAATATAATTTTTTTGGCATTCGCATTGCATTATCGTCGTGTTGCAAAAAGAGTTATTAATTGTACAATCTTTATCGATCTTGCAAGTCTGAAAAATCGGAATTCCTAAAAAAAATGTATTAATATTCTTGAAAATTCATTTAATGTAAATTATACATTGAATACAAGGATGATCTCAGATTACTGTTGAAATTGTATTGCTATATATTAAAATTTTGATAAATTTTAAGAAAAATTTTAAGAGAAATATTTAGTTATTAAATTGAAATATATATATTAGATTGAAATATATTATATCATATATTATTCGTATATAATTATTTTGTATTATATATATAAAACAAAGACATAAATATATAAATATAATAATCAAGAATGAATACCAATTCGTTAAAAATTTATATATAATATATTAAATTTATGATTATTTTTGTGAAATAATGGATCACAAAATGAAATGATATAATTTCATATTATTTTCACATATACATTAAAGCAGGATAATATATTTTTATTATTCATATCCATAAATAATTAAAAACTTTATGAAAATTATTGTTATAATAATTGCAAATATACTTTTTAAGTTCTTCAAATATATAACAAAATTCGTTATTGCAAAAATTTAATATAAATATTATTGAAATATTGAAGAAACTTTTAATTTAATATAAATATTATTGAAATATTGAAGAAACTTTTAATTTAATATAAATATTATTAATACTTGAAACTATATTAAACATGTACAAAATTTATTTTATTATTTGTTTCTTTATACCAAAATAAAAATTTGTTAAAATATGATAAATTACTATTTTTATTTCAATTTTTTTAGAAAATTTTATCATTTTTTTCTTTATAAATGATTTACATATTTTTCTCTAAATCTTTTATATAATCTTTTATATAAAAATAAAATAAAATAAGTATAACAGAAAAATATTAAAAAATTATGTTAAATATTAAAAAAAATTTATTTATTTGAAATTAAATAATATTTAAATACTTTTTTTTTCTTATTAATTTTAGCATTGAGATTTCTCTTACATCTCATGCAATCATATGAATTTAATACATATTAAAAGGAAAAAGGAAAAAAGGGAAATATAATTATACCTGCGCTTCTATTTCTATTATGTAAGATATCCGCACTGGAACAATTTTTAATTTCCTTATCCGTCTTACATACGCAATGTCCATTATGACAAAATGCGTTTTTTAAGCTATTTGAGAATTCGATGCAATTATGATCTTCTTTACAAGGGATTGGTGGATCTGTAAGAAAAAAATTGTTTCTAGCCTCTTTGAACTTCGATAATATTAATTTATAAAATATTGTTTAATTTTTGTCATATCTATAATAAGTTTATTTCAATTATACAATTTAATATTTATCATTAATTATATAATATAATCCCGTACAGTTATAAAAAATAAATTATTATTTTCTGATAATTATTTCTTCGCTTAAAATTATATATTATATTAAATATTATTAAAATAAGGATGAAAATTTGAAAACTTTTAACAAACTCGCAACTTTAAAAATCTCTTTTTTTTACAAAATCAATCATCGGTTATTCATATGTTTAAAAAAAGCTCTTCGCAAATCTTTGAGAGCTACATGGAGTAATCTTATTATCGATTTTAGTTTTGAATTCCTATATCGTGTGACCATCATCATGCGATTCATTCTCACGAATGGTTATAAATATAACATGCTGTATTGTTAAGTTTATCTAAAGTATATCAAATTATCTCAAAGCACAACATTGATTTCTTGAAATATATTATTTAATTATATAATACATTTCATTCAAATATAATACATTAAGTATAAATTAAATTTATCTCTGTTGTATCTTATTATTGACGAAAATATAACTATTTAATAATTACTTTATAAATATTAAATAATAAAATCAATTACATAAAATTTCATTGTAAATTCGAATTTAGTAAGAAATATATATAATGATCGACATAAATATTCATTATGATAAAAGTTAA